CACATTAAAACACATATTTTCATATTTTTCTAATGAAAAAAAAAGGAAGGAAGAGACATATAACCGCTGTTGTAGTATGCTTTGGATTGTGAGGAAAAAGAAAGGAGGGCAGGTGAGGGAGCAATTGCTAAAGCCCTAAAACCTAGACTTGGTCAAACGCAACAGTGTTTTCTTCTCTTTAGATTTCTTCCTTAGATGTATATTGTGCTGTTCATATGACACCATCAGGAAGCTATCAACCCTTTCACTGTTCTTGAAAGAAACTATGACCACTTGCAACCCAACTACGTGCCTATCTTTAGAGGATCATGCTTGTGGAGCACAGAAAGAAAAATCTTAGCACTAGCACTACCAGCTTTTGTCTTTTTCGAGAATGCAGTTCAGCATGTGTTGTTACAGTAAGCCCTAACTATTTGTGATGAATTTTCTTTTTCTACTATAGTTAAATCAAGTTCTAATGAGTCATTTTAGATCTTCCTCCTCATGTTGTCACCAATTTTTCTAATCATAATCCTTTCTCCTACCATTTCAGATGCTATTATGGATGCAATAACCTAGTCGCAAAACAAAGTTGGGTTCAAAGCTAGATTCAGAAGTGATTGATACAAGAGGAAAGCAAGGATGCTAAGAGACATGGTCAAAGATTCTTCAATCCAAGTGTCTCATGCAGTGGCTAAAAGATACTGAATTTGACTGCAACTTTATCTAGATCTGAACCACAAAAAAGAGCTATTCAAGCAACAGACCTCAATGTCTTAACTGCTCTACACCCAGAATAAACAGATGGTAAGGATGAACAGATATTTTGTTCAAGACAGGTTATGTGGCTTTCAGAAAAAAGAAAAAAAAAATCCAAATTATTGTCACAGCTTGATGCAGGCGACTTAGTCCATCAGATAAGCTAGAATCATCTTTATGAATATTTTCATTCAGCGGCACAGCTACTTTCATACTATATAGCTCCTTATGAGTAAGAAGAAGAGACTGACATGGTCATATAGACAACTCATGTTTGCCTCTACATGCATATCTTTTAACATTCAAAACAAGGATCTGATGGATGTCGCAGATTTCAGTCATTTTGGAGAAGCCCAAAAGTGGCGGTTGTTCCAATCGAACCCGGTGACCAATAATTATGCTCATGGAGAGGGAGGCCAATCGAACCCAGTGACTGCATCGGTAAAGCCACCTCCATAGAACCTTACTTCCAAACCCTCCAATCCTTGCTCAGCCTCCCAAATGCTATCATTATCACTTACCCCCTCGTAGACATCTTCCCCGTCTTCCATGAACTCCCAAGAGTATACTGAAGAATCTGAGTAGTCTGAGCACTCGTCCCAGCAATTCTGCTCGTAGCAGTCTATAATGTCTGGCCCTAATACCTTCAAACCAGAATGCCACTCCTTCAAGTACTTATCATCTAGCTTCACTTCCCAACAGCCCCTTAGATCCAAGTACTCAAGATCCCTGCACTGTGAGAGGATCTCGAGTACTCCTCGTGTTGTCAAAAGCAGGTATGCCGTCTCCAAGTGGTGCAACTTGGGCATCGATCTGGCAATGGCATATGCCTCATCGTCTTGACAGACCTTGTCCGCAACCTCTAATGGATGCATCCTACGCCGCAGGGAAACGAGAGATTTGCAGTGCTTTCCAAATGCTTCAATGGCACGGGCACCTATCTTTCTGCAGTAGCTGACATCCAAGAAAGTTATATTTGATAGTCTTGGAGCAATGATTTCTACAATCGAGTCACTTATTTCACTTCTTGGAAGCTCCAACCTCTGAAGAGATCCAGCACTACGAAAATTCAAAAGCAAATAGAAGGAAATCAATAAGGTTCATAACAGACATCAAACCATAATGATTCTAAAGTGCCTATCTCGAGATACCTTGAACTATTCCATTACATTTTACCCATTTTGTTTCTTTCATCATTAAGATCCAAATTGGAAGCGAACCAGCTCTTGTAAGACCCATAAGAAAAATACCAATTTAGAATCACACAGACTAGTAAACTATAGTTATTTCCTTCGGGAGTCTAAAGATCTGACCTTATACCTTTATTTTGACTATTGGTTCTCATCTAATTCATAAAGAGTAAATCATCTGCCATATAACAGCATGAAGGTTATGTCAAAGTAATCAATAACAGAAATCTAAAAGCACCATACGGAGAGAAGTGACATTTTGAAACAACAAGGCCACTTCAAAATGACAACCACACTTCATGTGGACATAAGAATGAGTGTCTGGCCTGCAACACCAGCAGATACTCTTCCTGTTACTGCTATTGAACCACAAATTTGATTTCACAACTTCAGTCATCTTATTCATGTGGATCTAACTACCAACAGTGCAGAAAATTGGCAGTGACATTGATAGATGTGATACTCACTATTTCACCAAGTGATCGAGATGCAATAGCTAGATGTAATTAGCACCAACCATGTAGACACTGCAGATTAGAATTCAGATCCCGACAATGTTAATCACAGAAATGTTAGTCACTGCAAACTATATGACCATAATTAGGACTAGTTAAACATGCAAGATCTTCATATGTTCGTCCAAGGCTCAAAATTCTGAAGCCATATAAAGAAGAAGTAGCACAGGGGAGATTCACGTACTGGTCTGCGATGAAGGAGAACATGGATTCGGTGTGGAGGCCAGAGACGCTGAGCCTGCGGACGGAGCCAGAGCTTCGAGCAATCAGCATGTGAAGCATTTGGTCCAGTTGCTCCGGCTTGCACCGCTGGCTCCATTCCTCGATGTCGATCTCCTGCCAGCAGTAGGGCCCCGACACCGCTCGCCCCCAAGATTTGCATACCCTGGGAATGACGGTGAGGATTTCCTGAAGAGAGAGGTTGCGGAAGATGAGGCCCAGAGCATCAGGGAAGAGCTCCTCCCATGCCCTCTCTTCGCCGTCCTCGCCCTCGGCCATGTCTGTCGACGCAGCAGAGGAGGCTACATCCCTGTACAAACAACTAGATCACACGAAGAAATGATCAAATTTTGGCAAACAAAGGCAGGAATTAGAACATCAACACGACAGGAATAAGATGCTCCTGGGATTGAATCAAATGTTGCAAGTAATGTCGAGAACCAGCGAACTAAACCCGCAAAGGTGGCGGATGAAGAAACCAGATACATAGATCCAGCAAGAAAACCAACAACAGGTTCAATTGAGCACTAAAAAGGACGAAGATGAGCGCAGGCGAATCGAGACAATTTTGCCCAGAATGGAATGAAGAGACTGGTCTTTCCCAAGATCAAAACGGAAAATGGATGGACTAATTGAAGAACAAACCCCAAACTTAAAGAGTACCGACATCCGTGAAGAAAACATAACCTTCTCGTCATCCAACAAAACAAACACGTAGTGACCAAAGCACTATTTTTTCCGGAACGATCGCTCGCTTCGCAGAACAACAATAGGATGACAAGCAGAAAACAAGAAAACTGAGCGTAAAACGACAACATAAATGGGAAAAATCGACAAATCAAGGCCCAATCGCGAGTGTTCATCCCAGATCAAGCAAAGAAGCTGCCCAAATCCAATCATGAAGAATAAACAACGAGAACCTCCTAAATGTCATATTTTTTCGTGGGGATTGAACTATAAAGCCGACTGCTTCAATTAATCCAAGAAGATGAAAGAGGTACTAACATAGAACAAAAAGAAGGGTTTTCTCTTTCAATGCAATCAGCCGCTATTAGAGAAAATTAAAGATCAAAGAGAGGAACCAGAGAGCAGAGACAGAGGAAAGAGGGAGAAGCAGGAAGATGGAGAAAGCGAAGAAGCTCTCACTTAACCCGAGGAGACAGAAAAACTGCAGCAATTGGCAAAAAGCTACAGAAGAGGGTAAAAGTGAACTCAAAATTACGAGATATATGTAGATCACACATGCAGACGATGTTATGTTAGTTATTCAGATATCAACCCTAGTTCTTGATATGATTCCCAACCCACGGAGAAGCCGAGGGTGAAGCCATACAGAGGTGCCGAACAAAAACCTTGTTGATGCGCATTTCTTAAGCCACAGGCGCAGCAATAGACGAGATAGCCAACCCTACATGTAACAAGTCTCCTGTGTATTCTTCCCCTCGAAACAAAACTTGCTCATCTGTACTTCTTACTTTTGGCATTATAACTACCATCGTAATCTAAAACAAGAGGAATCCATACGACGAAGAGGCGTTGTAGCAAAATGTAAGAGTTCATCACTGGCATGCAGTGCAAAGCCACGGTACTCTCCCACCTGCTGTCCTTCCGCTCCATGGCCGGCACTTGGCACACGCAAACAATGAGGTAGGTTGGCGCCTTGGGGGGCATTGAAGGGGTTGTCGACCGGTGGGACATCAAGGTGGCTTGGCTTGGCTTGTGTCAGATCACATCACACAGGCGTTTGTACCCACCAACCTTTCTGGAATGTCTACCCTCTCCCTCTCGCGCTTTCGTCTCAACCTCGAATGCCATTATGATGTGGTGTACATTTTTTTGGACTGATTCTTTCAAGGTTAGAAGTACTGTCTATGTTCTTAAATATTTAAATCTTGAGTTAAATACTAAAAAAAATCACATTTTGATTAACCTAAAATACTCTTTTCTCATTTTGAGCTTCTTTTCCTAATTGATGCATCCATTTTAATTTTCTGTGCTTTGGCTTCTTTTTTTCATCCCAAAATGCTTCTGACAACTAAAACATCACTTCACATTTTTAAATAACATTATAGCATTTTCTACAATTTAACAAAGATACAATAAATCTATACAAAATATGATTAATCAACCTTGGCCGACGTTAAAATAAAAATTCATATTAAGCTAAGAACAACATGAAAAAGAATTAGCTTTCTGATTATGATAATACTATTCATAACCATCCAGCTTACCAACCAATCTAATACAAAGGATGATAGTTTTTAAGTTTGTTCTTTCAGAGACAATTTGGGGACATAATGAGGAAAACTATAAAGGGTTACCAACCCAGAAAAACCTAAAATGAAAGATTTTTCTTGAGAATTCGTTCATCCGAGACTCTTTAATATTTTTATTAAAAACTAAAACTTAAAAGGATAAATGCAAAAACACACAAATATGTAAGAATATATTTGACAAAATTATTATGCTCCATACCTACTTTGCTTAGTTATTATATTGTGAAAAATTAAGCCATACAGTGTCGATGAAAATTTCGACTGATCCATGTTGATGAAGCCAAGAGCTATCAAATTGAAGTGGACCACTGCTGACAGATGCAGAAGTACCTCCCCTGTCTCTGGCAAAGCTTTATCAGCATTCAGAATGACATTAGAGATGGTAACTGAGGACCTGTCTTCAACACAAAAAAAAAATGAAAATAAATTTGATGTCAAAGTATATCCAAGGACATAAATCTAGTGCCGACAATTAGATTCTAAACAAAATGTAAAAGTAAACATTACCATATTGATCGAACAACGGCTCCAGTTCAGCAAATCAGGCTAATGCATTGAGGCAGCTGGAGCACAATTCTGCAATGTTAAATTTATTGCAAGGAAGTAAAGGCTTGGGGGAAAAGAACACAACATAAAATGTGTTGCAAGTGGCCTCAACCAGCTTCAGCAAGTGCATTGAGGCAGCTGGAGCACAACCTTGCAAAGGTAAATTTATTGCGAGGAAGTAAAGGCTCGGAGGAAAAGAACACAACATAAAAAAGTTGCCAGTGACCTTAACCAGCTTCAGCAAGCATTCGCTTGGGCATACCAATCCGAGAAGGTATTAACTTCGACTGCGTTCCTCCGGTGTAAATGTATTGATGATCTACCTCTGTTGCTCTGTCAAGAAACTGTGCTCGAGTCACCAAACAGCAGCAGTGATTCCCACCACTGAAACTGAACTGAGATTTGATGTTACTATACATGCCTGTCCCTGACACAATGAAAGAAGAGCAAAGCCCCAAGAGAGTCACAGATCCCCAGGTGCAGAATCCACCAAGCAAGGCTGCCTGAGAACGGGTCTCAGGGATCTGAAATTGTGATCTGAACAATTACAGTGGATTCGACCAAAAGACAGGAACCCCATCAAATATTCCATGTTGGGTGTATGCAAGTCCACCAAGGTTTTGACATGTTCTGCCTGCAATATAAAACTCCAAATCCATCTAGCAACACTGGCAGCTTCGAGAAAAGACAAATTGGAGTGTCTGTCGAGTTGTTCTCTGGCACATGCAAAGCTTAGTTTTGCTTGTTAGCCAGACAGGCTTCGCAAGGAGATCTTGGAGTTGCCCTACAAATCAATTTAGATCTCTAATTTAGATCTAAATTAGATCTGGCATTCCGTTCCTGTAGTAGTTCAAACAAATCAAAAGCAGCTAGGGATAAGAAGAACGGTGAATAAGGTTGAAACAGTAAGGGGAAAAAAAGATAGACCAACGTCAAATTAATATTTTAGATGCACATAAGAAAAAAAGCATAAGAACACAAAAGTATGATTAGTTCCTCGATATGATGCTTCAAATCAACCAGTAATCTGACAGATTAATGCCAGTACCTTGATCAATTTTCAAACACCACCAAATTCCTCAAGAACCTGGACGGCAGTTTGAACATCAGCCTCTGTTATGAGCCTGATGAAGATGATTTTACAACCTGTAAGGTTGGTAGATAAACAGAAACCATCAAAAATCACAGTAAATTATGGCACAGTGCTCATCAACAAGAAACAAGACATGTTCTCGGAAGAAAGTAAAGGCTAAGCAAACAGGTCAAAACTACACAAAATCACATCGAGCTAATGTACATTTGAGATGGCCATACTGTTAACACAGTGATTCCCCACATTACTTAGATAAATTAACAGGAAAGTAACCAAACTATCAGTAGCATCAAACCGATAGGCTCTTAGCAATTAGCATGCTAGATTGAGTTGTCATAATCTTATAAGAAAAACAGAACATATAAGAAAATTTTTGCCATCTTCCATGAGGTGGTTGACGCTTTAAACTTTGATACAAAATGTACCATGACTCAGTTAGCTCTCTGTATCAACAGGGCAAGCATGTGACAATTTTATAACTGCAACATGACTTAAGTAGCTCTCTTATCAACAGTGCCAGTCACAAATTTTCTCAATGCTTTATCCATTTTATAAATTTCCATTCTCATATTTTGGTTAAACTCATCCATAAGTGACAATCAATTTCAGCAGGAAGCTTACAAGAATTTAAAAGTAATTCAAATATGAAGTAAAACAATTCCTTTTGATAAATAAAAATACCAGATCAAGGAAAATTTTATTTCACTAGAAAAATCTTTCACTGGTTCGGTAAAATATTAATTAGTCCAAAAAATTATCTTCATTAAATGAGAAACTAATAGCATGAGCCAGTAGCGATACCCCTGTATAAAATAAGTGCAAATTCTGGGCATCAATTGCTACCAATAGTTCCACATTACCATATGAACCAAAATACGTTTGCTGTGCTAATTATTGATTGGATACTGATACATCATGAAAAGTTCATCAAATAAAATTTAAAATCATGCTGAACCTAGGTCAACCCACACTTTGATTAAAAGTAATAAGAACCTAAGTCATGTTGAACCATCTGTGTTCATTGACCACAACTTAATGACTCTCAAGCACAGTAGACTCTAGAAGGAATAAGAAGCATAAAATAAGTAATTTTACAAATTGGGTTAAGATTTAGTTTAGAATAATTTGTAGGAAACTTAAAAAAAAGCAGAATTCTGTCAGAGACTGTTTATATTTGAAGTTTCAGTTCATAATTTATGAAAACCCCAATGCAAGGCAGAGAAGTCTGAGCAGGGATTTACTAAACGTCTGGGATGCATCTATCTTGCACAGTGCAAAAACAGTTTCAGGGTAGAACATATTCAAATTTAAGATCTGGGCAGCTAACTTGCCTTAGTGCAGACCTAATTGTCATCATAACAAAATTAAAAGTAAAAAAAATTGTAAAACCAATTTCAAATCATAATAAAGAGTTTTTTTCTAAATTGTTATCCAATTTAGCCATAAATGTACCCACAGCTAATTTTTTTGAATTGATATTGTGACATAAAAAGGATCCAGTTTGAATAACCAGATCTATTTAGTTCCATCTAATGTAGCTCATCATTACAAGTTCCTGAAAAGTAACTGCAAATATCTGACAGTCAGACAATAAGAGAACATGCAGAAAGACAAACATTAATGTATGCTTTATTATCCAATTAATGAACGGTCGTCGAGAAAAGATTATAGTCACTTTCATGATTTGCTATTGGGGTGATGAATTTCATTGGAATTTGCCATCTCCCTGTAGTAACAAGAACAAGCTTGCACTGAGAAAATTCATCACCAAGCCCTCCTATGAATCCCAATTTCAGGTGGGGGATGGCTGTTAAAAAGCATCCAACTTGAGTTCTAGAAATGATTTTTTGGAGTGTATTTGGTCTAGCTTGGGTGTTTTCTATTTTTCTATCTTCAATCTTTGCAGTACTTCACAATAATCATCTTTGTTTGCAAAAATGACGAAAGTCACCAGAATTATCTTTGCAGTACTTCAACAAAAAAAATTAATCATATCAATATTTTGAATTTTAAAGTATTTGATACATTACAGAATAATTTAAAATTTTCACAACTATTTTAGTGTTAAATAAATTTAACAAACTTGTGCCGTCCCTGTTTATTTATAAAACATTAATACTTCTAATTTGAAGCCATATATTTTAGAAGTATTTTAACTATTTTCAATATACTTGAAACCTAACATTCATCATATGACAAAATTTTGTTCAAATGTATAATCAGAGGGGTTCTGGTTTTCAGCATACTTCAATTCCATGATTAACATGACTTGAATCCTTCCCTCTCTCCCAGCAATATCAGCACTGTGGCAGAAGCTGATTTACCATTCATCATCCTCTCACATCCTCCCAGTCTTTGGCTGCTGCTTGTTCTTCTTTGCCAACGAAGGATCGACTAGAATCAATCAAAACCAATCAAGTCCACCTGAGTTTAGTCTGATTCCAGCTGACTTCGAATGATTCTGATTGATGTTGGTGAAAACAGGTATGTTGGGATGAATGTAGGATCCAAGTGTCAAAGTTTGTTGATTTCACCTGTATCATACCTAATGTCCATGTCAATTACTAGCTATGCATTTCATTTTCAGAAATTATTCTGATCATCATTCACCTTCTTGTTAGAATCTAAATAAACCCTTAGCTTACTATTCAAACCCTACCAACACTACTGGACAATACACTGGTTTTAGGATCCAATGTATCACTGCTCTCACAGAGAGATCCTTGCTCCAGAATCATCACTCTATAATTTATATTATCCCACCATCAAACTATGCAAAGAAACTTTAGGACAAGTTGTTTCTTTTAGTGTCACACTGGACTTAGGATTACCTTTAGAAACAAAGCAAGCACTATACATGGCACTAAACGAATATGATACTAGTTAAACTGTGCCTGTATTCACTTTTTGAACATGGCACTAAACAAATAGGATATCAGTTAAACTATACCTGTATTCACATTTTTATCTGCAATGAAAAAGATATGGGTAAAAAAGATTCAGATTATGATTAGCAATACCGTACCGTATTGCTCGGTACGAGCGGTATGTACCAGTCCGATAGAGAACTGGTACGGGTGGTATATCAGTGCACCTTAGTGTATCATGTGTTGGTATGCTCGGTACAACTCAGTACATACCGTATCGACAACTGATTAGTACACCGGTACGATATGTAAGTTAGATGATTAGGGACTCAAATTGGATTTAAAGTGGATATAGATGCAATGTAAATTAAAAATATTATTAACAAGAATTTATGAATCCATTTTTTCTTTTTGCATAAGATTTGAAAGCAACTGCTTTCAGAACACCCTTTCAAAGGATCAAGCCTAGGTGGACAAAGCAGTGCTTAGGAAAAAGTAATAAGATTAATATAAATTCATATGTATGAAAAATCAAGTACAACCAGCTTCACACTAAGGAAAACTATAATCAAAATTCACTTAATGCAAAAATTAAAATTAAGTACACACTTTTAAACATTCCATAAGTCCTCAATATACATATAACTTTATGCACTCCCATTACATCAACACTTCATAGAGGTCACATAAGATGGAGTACTTCAAATAATAGTTTCATATTAAAATTTCTAATTATAATCCTAAGACTAGTTGAATTTTCATGTCAATGTAGCCCTCGGTGTTTTCATAAAAAGCAAAAGTAAAATGAAAAGCATATTGCAATAATTATGATATAGTAACATATATCATGGCTCAAAAAGGAAAAACAAACAAGATCTAACAAACCAATATTCTCATTGTTGCCATTATTCATTACATGAGTATAAAAGACGATTAGTTTTACTTGTAATTGTTAAATAACTGCTCGTACTTGTTGCATTACTCAAACAGATTATTATTCTTATTTATATCTTGTTTGAGTCAGATCCTCTTACTCTATACTAACAATTGTTTGTAACAAATTGAGGAATTTAAGGAAAAAGTTGGCCTTCAGGACCGAGATAGTTTCTCATGCCCCATTTATGAATAGGGGCTGTCGCTTGACCAGAAATACAAAAAGTGATGAACTCTGAAGTGGTGAGGATAATGTACAACTAAATTGTTTGGAAAATATTCAAGCATTCTGATATCTGAATATAAATAATACTCAATTAATATTCATATTGCATCCGAATTTTGATTAATAATAGATAAAATATGGACAAGGACATAATTTGTGTAACCATATTTTACCTCGATCAAATATGAAAACAAATTCCAATAGATATTATCAAACCCATTTACACCTTTATATTATACCATCATGCACCAATTGTCATATTTCATTAAACCATTCTTTTTCCATATTAAGAATAATCTAACTATTCTATTTTCTTGTGATCTTTGCATTTTCTACATCTTTCCACAGACCCTTTGTTCAGTTACAATGGACAGGGGAATGAGAAACATCAAACAATTTATTATTGACATGATAATAAAAGCCTAACCAAAGATTATGAACAAAATAAATCAAATTCTCATACTAAAATACCTCAAGAACATTGATGCCAAGAGGAGGATTATATACATACCAAATACAAAGAGGAAATGCTGCATGATTGGTACCATTTTCAACACCTCGAACTTGTTCATCTTGGGCAGCCCGCTGTTCACTTTGCTCCAGCTCGGTCTCACGACGTACTCCAAGTACATCATCTACTAGTTGTCGAGAATACTCTGGTTACGCGTCAACTTCGGCTAAGAAGATCCACAGCTAGAATGAAGAATAATCATCAATCCCTCACAAGCGGAGCCTCCGCATGAGATCGACCTAGGCGGCGAGAAGCCGGAGGTGGAGGGTTGGGTAGTCCTCTTCCTTGAAAAGACCCAGAGGAACCCGGCGAAGATGGTATAACCGCCGGTGAAACTTTCGGTGCAGGAGTCGTTTCCGTAGGAGTATGGGATCTCCAGCGATATGGTAGTCGGAGTTCCTCGGGCGTGCCAGAACTGGTTGGTGGGGTTTTCTTAGCCGGGATCTCGTGTATACAGTCTGGATGAGGCCGCAGACGGCGGCGACGCAGCCGAGAAAGTGGAGGCCGGGGAGGAGTCGGCTACACTTAATATTCCGGTACGACGGGTGGAACCGGGGCCGATTTAAGGATCAGACGTGGCGAGTGCTTATAACGGCGCAGGTCATGTCGGGAGACCGCGATTGGCCCGCGATGCCCATATGGACAGGGTTGCCGGAAACCAGATGACACATTCAAATGAGGATTAATTACATAGTGCATTTATGTAGTTAATTACTTTAATATTTTCATCCTCCTACTTTTGAAAACTATATTAATTTTTTTATATTTATAAAAATAAAATATTTAATCTTATTTCTCGATTTTATTGATGAAAATATCCGAGTATTATCATGTGCAAAAAATAATGATCAAATAGGATTAAAAAGATAATTTTATAATATTATTTTCACCAATATTAATTTTTTCTTCTAAAAGTATTTTCTTTTTCCGACTTTATTCTCTTATTTAGCTTTGATATCCTCCTAAATGGCCTAATGAATCTAAAGAAAAGATTCACCAATATTACCCTCTGTAAGATTTATAATAAAAAAAAATCTCGATAAATATGGAACAATTGATAATTATATACCTCCGAATCCAATCAATGCACGATGAAACAAGACAGAAATCATTTCTATTAAGTATTTCACTTTCTAACAAAACCTTTAAAACACTGACAAAATATGATGCAATTGAATAGTATTATCTTATTTCATTTCCCAACAAAACTTTTCTTTCTCTTGATTTTTTTAATAATAAAAATAATATTATAAAATTATTATTATTTAATTATAATTTAATATTATTTTTCGTATGTAATAACACATGTGATATTTATATCAGTAAAATCAACTATATGAAAAGAAACGAGATTAAATATTTCACTTTCGTAATTATAAAATATTTTAATATAATTTTTAAAAATATATGGATCGAAATATTAAATATTATTAACTATAAAAAATAATTAATTTTTATAGTCGACACACCCAAATGATTCAGAATTTAATTAGTTAAGAAAATATTTTATTGATAAGGGTGTCATATGTACGATCAATAGTTAGGTAGTGCTACGAAACATTTAGTATCTCAAAAAAGCACAAAAAGATTCCCTGCAAAGGGAATAGCTAAAAACAAAGATCAGAAATGAACACAAGTGATTCGAAGAACCGAAGAGGAAGGCAGAAAAGATTCCCTGCAAGTTGTTCATAATATTATTTGGTTTATACATGACCAAAAAAATCTCCTTAAACCTTGTATTTTTAATTTTATAAATTATATCGGATTTAACTTTTATTATGGAGCTTCTAACCAATATTAAATATCTAAAATTAAGCTATGGAGATACCTAAAAGTGTCATAATCGATGAAATAAGAATGTAATTAATCATATCTGTTCATCCTGTGATATTTCCTGGTGATTTATTTGCTGACCTGTCAGACAGGCATGCAAACGTGGCAGCCAAATCGATCTCCAAAGATATTTATTCTGCCAGGTGAGTCAACTTGTCGAGCTGGCATTGCTGACCATCAACTAAAAAAAGCCCCTTTCAATTTCTTCTCGAACATATTTCTTCCGCTTGTAAGATTCCTGCGCAAAATCCATCGTATACTCGTGTCTTCTCACAACTACGTCTCAGAAACCATAGTCATCATTGCAGGCAGAGTTGATGCACCTACCCGACATGCATGCATTACAGCTTCGCTTGTCTGAGCCCCACCTCAGCAGCGTCCAGTAAGGAAGCAACACGTTCATCCCTTCCGGGAATCCAGACGATGACGCAGGGTAGTCCAGATGAGACGCACCGAGTGTGGATAGCGACGAGGGGATGGAGGATGTCGCCGCAGCTGCGTCCCCACGCGAGCTCGCCATGGCAGAGACCTCCGAATTTATCACGAAGAGATAAGGCCGTCACCTCCTCCCTCCTCGTTGGCCGCCTTGACTTCGCGCTTACTCCATATCTTCGACATCACTTTTGCTTTGTGGTATATAGTTGTTTTGGACGACTGGGAGCCACACTTTATTACGAGCTTGAAATGACGCATGTAGAGCTGGGAGCGACAACACTCGGTGCGCAGCTTTGAGTGGCGTTTACGTCAAACGAGGATGACACGCGTAGTGCAGCTAAACCTCGGTCGCCTTAGCCGACGTATGGGACGCGTCGACGTGGTGGGAGGACCGCCGGCCACCGGTCCCGCTCACTTTACTCTCTCGCCTCCCGCCCTCGCTTTCGCCTTTCGCGGGGCTCGTGATATTTTAGTGCTGCCACTCGATCACTAAACCATTATCGCGTTGGTATAACCCCCCCACCGTATTCTGCTAAGAAGACAGCGAACTGCCATGGCTGCTCCTGCTTCTTCTTCTTCGGGTTGTTCTGCGCTTCTTGGGTTCGTGTTAGCCGCTGCACTATTTCAGTGCTCCCATGGAGGGAGCACCCTCGCAGGCCTCGTGGAGCAGCAGCCTCTCGCGATGACCTACCACAAGGGGCCTCTGCTCACTGGTCCTCTGTCGGTCAACCTCATATTCTACGGGAAGTTTACGGCTTCACAAAAGGCCATCGTTTCGGACTTCCTCGCCTCCCTTTCGCTCGTCCCCCACAAGGACTCCGTAGAGCCGTCGGTTGCCACCTGGTGGAATACCCTTGCTAAGTACTACGCCACCTCCAGGACGCCGCTGCCCAAACTCAAACTCGGAAAGCAGATCGTCGACGCGGGGTACTCCCTCGGCAAATCCCTCCGCGACGCTGACATCGCGAAGCTGGCGGCCCGGGGGGCGCCGCGGAACGCGATCAACGTGGTGCTGACGGCCGAGGACGTGGCCGTGGAGCGGTTCTGCATGAGCCGGTGCGGCTCCCACGCGGCGTCGCCACGGTCGAAGGACGGCGGCCGTTTCGCCTACGTCTGGGTGGGGAACTCGGCGGCGCAGTGCCCCGGACAGTGCGCCTGGCCCTTCCACCAGCCCATCTACGGGCCGCAGGCACCACCGCTGGTGGCGCCCAACGGCGACGTCGGGGTGGATGGCATGGTGATCAACGTGGCGAGCATGCTGGTCGGCGCCGCCACCAACCCATTCGGGGACGGGTTCTTCCAGGGGCCGAAGGAGGCTCCGCTGGAGGCGGCGACTGCTTGCCCCGGGGTGTACGCAAAGGGAGCCTACCCGGGCTACCCGGGGGACCTACCGGTGGACTCCGTCACCGGAGCCAGCTACAACGCGCATGGGGCCCACAGCAGGAAGTACCTGGTCCCAGCCCTCTTCGACCCGTCGACGTCCACGTGTTCGACCTTGGTGTGACGAGAAGTACGTACCGATACTTGAACAGATATGCGTATGAACGTAATGTACATATGCACTTGTGAATTAAGCCTCTTAGAGATGAGACTGTTAGTAGCGTGAAAGCTACTTTGTTTTCTGTTGCTAAAGCAATAATAATAATAATAATAATAATAATAATAATAAAGTAATAAAAATAGTGTTTTTTTTTCTTTTAATTAATTTTTTTCTGGATGAATGAAAATGTTTTACTGTCGTATTTGGTTTGTATTATTTAGAACAATGATGGAAATTATGGGTGTAACGATGTCAAAGAGAAACATGAGAGAGTTTAAATGTATTATCAAGAATATATAATTTTCATCAAATAATTTCAAAAAATATATGAGATGATTTAGGATCGATCACATTAGCACTAAATAAATAGATTGATGTAGAGTTTAAAAGGTTCATATGATTTTTATTAAAATATTGTAAAATATAAAATATCGATAATGTATTAGCAGTAGAGATGATTTTCATTGCAGTATTTCAAAAATATATAATGTCAACATAGTATAATATTTTATAAATATTATTTTATAAAAAATAGTTGTAAAACTCATTAAGTGGAAGGTTCATACGGTTTTCATCGTAAAAACATAAAATATCAATTTAGAATAATATTTTAATATTTAAAAAGTTATATGAATATTATTTTATATAAAAACTTTGATAGTCGTAAAACTTGCATAAAGTTGATAGTTTGTATTATTTTTGTAAAACAATTATAAGAATATAAAATATCGAGTTAGGATGATATTTTAATACTAGAGAAGTCATATAAATGTTATCTAGTAAAAAAAAATGATAGTCAAAACACATAAACCAAGTGGAAAATGTGAATCATAAAACAAACACAAACCAAGTGGAAGAAGGTTTTCACATTTTGTCATATGGTTCTGAAGATGTAAAAAGTTGATTTAGGATGATATTTTAACAATAGAAAAACTGTATAAATATTATTTCATAAAAAAATAACAGTAATAAACATGCACAAAGTGGAAGGTTGGCACCATTTTTGTCATCTCATTTGAAAGATATAAAATTTTGACTTCATATAATATTTTAATACTAGAGAAGTTATATGGACCTTATTTTGTGAAAAAAAACTCGAACTAAGTCGAAGGTTTGTAATGTTTTATAAAAATATAAAATACAAAAATATGACAATCACAATTTTGAAAATACAAAATGTCGATTTAGGATAATATCTTAGTACTAGATAAGTTATATGAATATTATTTCATAAAAAAACATGACAATAACAAAACTTGCACATACATTGCTTTAGTTACACCATTTCGAAAATGTAAAATACTAACTTCACACAACAATTTAGCTATTGAGAAGACATATAAATATTATTTTATGAAAAAATATGAAAGTTCAAAAAACTCATAAAAAGTAAAGGTTTGCATGATTTTCTTTACGCTATCTCAAAAATATAAAATATTATCTTACTTAATAATTTAGCACTAAAGAAGTCATATGAATATTCTTATATGAAACAAAAAAGAGAGATATAGAACTTGCACACATTGTTTCAAAAACATAAAATGTGATTATATAATATTTTAACACTAGAAAAATGTTATGAATGCTGTTTCATGAAATAATATAATAGTTATTAAACTCGTGTCGAGCGAAAGGTTTAAATGATTTTTGTCACATTGTTTTGAAACCACATAATATTGCACAAAGTGAAAGACTTAAAACGATTTTTATTACTCCATTTCGAAAACATAAAATGTCCACTTCATACAAGTCATATGGATATTATTTTCGTCACACATTCACCTTGTTTCACGAAGGTTTATTATGTTTTCTTCTTTTTTCGAACATTTAAAAGTCTATCACTAATTATGTTGAAGTTGGAGCAATGCCATTCCCATTTTTATTCATGCCACATTTAAATTTATTATTAGGTCATCGTTTTCTGGAATTTCAAAAACATGAGCGACAGATTAAAACATACAACTGAACCTATACAAAATTCTTTTTATTTTTATCTTAGAATCTATTTCACCCATTGAAATAGCAATTTCTTAGCTCCTATCATCGATCCAAAATAAGTTTGATTAACATCTTGAGTCATTCTCCTTTTTTCAATGAAAAAATCAATATAAAAATTAATTTAAATCTAATTTGAGCCAGGTTGTTCGTATGATCAGACAAAATTTGAGTTAACGCTAGAGCTCATACAAATAAATATAAAATAGAGATCGTTATTTGTAGTCTCATATTATTATTTATAATTTTATTTATTTTTAAATATTTTTAAATTATATATATATATATATATAAATATATATATATTTTTTCTTGACATCAAGGAGTGGAGCGAAATCAAATTACATTAGCAATGAGCAAGATGACATCGAGAGATGATGAGCGAGATCAAATGACATTAGCAATGAGGGAGATAAGAAGTTTGGGGAAGGAAGAAAAAAAAACCTGTAAATAAATTTTTATTATTATTTTATAAAGATATTATCAATAAGAAGGGATTGTCAATAAAAGCCTGTGAATAATAAGTTTTTATTTAAAAAATAAGGTTCGGCTTCATTAATTAAGACCGTCCGATTGCTCCTTATGATCTGTGCCTGCGCAAGCGCTCGCGTAACTCACGAAAAAGGACGACCTCCACGTGTTTGTTCGCCTCGGTCGCCCTTCTATATAAGAACCGGACCGAGTTCGCCGCCGTAGATAGACCAGAGGGCAGGGGCGACTCTTGGGGGAGGAGAGATGCCGGTTCTCATGTGCAACGCTTGCAATAAGGGGTTCGACGACGAGGCGCAGCAGAAGCTTCACTACAGATCCGAATGGCACCGCTACAACCTTAAGAGAAAGGTGATGGATTAATTCGCTTCTAGGGTTTGAGATTTCGGAAGTCCCGACCTGGGTCGATTTGATGCTCGAATCTTTCTTTTCTTGAAGATATTAGGGTGTTTTTCTCCTTATGTTTGTTTATTTGATTATGTTAGGGCGGTGGGCTTTTCTTTTATGTGTTGGTAGAAAGGTGATCTTTGTGTTAAGTCTCTGCGTTGGCAGATAGTTTTGTTGGTGATGATTGGGGTTTCTTTTGGATCTCTTTTGGTTTTCCCATCTTCTGGGTTTCTTCTAGAGAATGGAAAGTTTCGTTCGGATATTCTGAAAATAGGGCTTTTTAGAACTACTTGGAATTTCCAGGCTACAGAGTCCTGTTGGGAGTCTGATGATGCCATGTGATCAATTTAGCAAAATTTTTCCTTTTGAGGAAAGAAATCGCCAATTGGAATCTATGACATTATCTCAAACAAGGGTAGCTATGACTTGTTACATCGTAGACGCTATATTTTGGATGGTTAATATATTACGAGCAGTATATGGGTTGAAATAAAAAAGAACTAGGTTCATCTGTGTTTGTTTGACAAATGCTAGCATGATTAACGTGTTCTCTCACTTTTTATTTGCAAGATTAATTGATGATTCGATTCCATTGTTTACTATCATATAATAAATTTATAGATACCAGTCTTCTCTTAGATGCAATATTGTATACGCCATAATCATATCAGAGACTTTCCCCATATTTATCATGGATATTTTAGGTTTTTTATAAAAAATCATCATCAAACATGCCAAGTCTGGGCTATAAGTTTTTGTTGTATAGCAGTACTTGGTGATTGTAGTTTTGGGTGCTTCTGCCAGTTTTAAACATATGCTTCATGCAGTAGTTTTATACTTTCAGTACTAACTTTGACTTTCATGTGTACATTGTGGATATCACAGGGCAAAAAGAACTGAGATGTTGCTGTTTGATAAAAATGCATGGTGCTAAATGCTATTTTATTTATATGGGATAGTACAAAAAGGAGTGAATTAGTCTTTGTGATACAGGAAGTTTTTAGGATTGGTTGGGTATATTTTAATTAGATTGAAAATTTTATATTAATTTAATTTCTTTAATAGATAGATCTGGTAGGTATTTAATTTTGAAATGACAAAAATATGTGTGTGGCGTTAAATCAAATTAGGAGTTTTGTTATGGTCAGTACTAAAGTATGAATTTATGGTTTCATTTCACTGTACACCTTTTGTAGAAAATCCTGACATATTCGTTCATACATTCATTTCAAGAAAAGACACATGGTGAAATCCTTAAATAATTTCATATTTTAATATCAAACCTACCGGTTATGATATCTTGCTTCATTGTAATCAGCATGTGCTACATTTTCTAGGCACGAGGAAATTTTCATCAATGTGTTGTTCTTTTTAGATTTTGCTTAAGTGACATAGGTTTTCATGGAAAAAAATTTAAAATTAAGCCTCTATAGATGATACAGATCAGAGTAAAGATAAACATGGGTGTCATATGCCTCAGGTTGCAGGGGTCCCAGGTGTAACAGAAGAGTTATTTCAGGCTAGACAATTAGCTCTAGCTGAAGAACGTAGCAAGTTGAGTGCAACACCAATGCTCTATGGATGTGCACTATGTGGAAAGGAGTACAGAAGTTCAAAGGCTCATGCTCAGCATCTTAAATCACGAGCTCATACTATGAGAGCATCACAAGAGTTGGGTCCTTCAACTGCAAGAATTACCACTATAAAACCATTTGCAGGTCGAACATCAAATAAGGCTACAGTTCATGTTGCTCAGGCCGTTAGAGGAGATGAGGATGAAGAAAGTGAAGAGAGTGAGGATGAATGGATAGAGGTCAACCCAAACGATGAGCTGGATATGGCTTCTGAATCCCTGTCAAACTTGCACGTTGGTGAAAATAATGTTACTTATGATATTGAGCCAGATGATTTCATTGATGAAGCTGGAGAGTTGGATACATCTTGTTGCTTCATTTGTGATCTAAAGCATGAAAACATAGAAACCTGTATGATCCATATGCACAAGCAACATGGGTTTTTCATACCTGATGTTGAATATTTGATGGATCCCAAGGGTCTTCTTACATATGTTGGTCTTAAGGTAGATGTTCTACTCCCATTTTGTATGTTAAAATCTTGTTTTTAAAGTTTGCTTAACGAAATACCCTCTTCTTTTTTCTTCCATCAGGTCAGAAGGGATTTTATGTGTTTGTACTGCAATGAGAGATGTCATCCTTTTCAAAGCTTGGAGGCTGTAAGGAAGCATATGATAGCAAAAGGTCATTGCAAGGTGCGTTATGGAGATGGAGGTGATGATGAGGATGTGGATTTGGAGAATTTCTATGATTACAGCAGCAGGTTTATATTCTAAACTAATAAATAGTTCTTCCTTTGTTCCATGAGCTGTTGCAAGCATATTTAGAAATTGAACCATCAAAATGGATTTGGAAGGAACTTGGCTGTAATAGCAATTTCTATTACTTATAAAACTATTGTTGCTTTTGAGGTCCATGTTTGCCTTTGCAAGCATGACACTTAAATAGTGTGCCAGAATTCATTTATATAAAAAAAAAAGTCAAATTAGGGTTTTCAGAAAGGGATGACTAGGTTTTCATGATCTCTTTTATTAACAGAATTATGATAGTTCGAACTTGTTATCATTTTTCCTTGAGCTGTTTGCAAGCATATTTAGAAATTGGAACATCAATGTAGATCTGGAAGGGGCATGGCTGCAAGAGCAACCTCGATTTCTTTTAGAGCTGTTGTTTGCTTTTGGAATCCATGTTTGCCCTGGACAAGCATCACACTTAAAGAGAGTTCTTTGAATTCATTATTTATTAAAAAGATACACCAATTTAGGGTTTTAAGGGAGGCAAACTAAGCTTTCATGATATCTTTTGACTAGATAATTTTGAAAAATTGAAATCATGAATTCCTTGCTACTTGTGCTTTCTTCATAGGTATCTGTTTTTGTTAACCTCATTCATGAGCAGCTTAGCATGGAAAAGGGGCAAAACCTGAACAAATTACCTAAGGAAATATCCTGAAGGAAATAATCTGCAGATACATAATGGTGACTGTTTGTTTGGTCAATGAAACTTATGCATGATTTTAATTGTTGAAAAATTCTCCTTCATTTAATGTGTTCCATTTTTTCAAATAAGTTTTTATGGATCTGAATTTTCATTCTATGGAACTTGCTTTTTATTACACATTGACATTCTCTTGCATTCTTACTGTTATGTTCTTTCTTGTAGTTATATGGATGCAGATGGTAAGCAATTGGTGGCAACAGATTATATGAGTAGTAGTGTGGAGCTTGGGAGTGGAGGGTCTGAGCTTATCATTTCACGGAAAACTGATAATGGGGTACTTGTTCGAACTTTTGGATCTCGGGAATTTCTTCGGTACTACCGCCAAAAACCACCGCCATCTCTTACAAGAGATGCTTCATTAGCTCTTTCATTAGCTTCAAGGTATGTGTGCCTTCTATATCTTAATTTATGTATTTGGTTAATAGGAGCTATTTAGTATTTACAAACAAGAAATCTTATTTCCCAACCAAGCTTTAATTCCTATGATACATGAGCTTGTGCTATGGTTGTTTGGCAATGGTATTAGAGGTAAATTTAAGATTCAGTTTTTCCTAAGTGTGCTGTCATCCTTCGATTGTCCAGTACAATGCTTATCTGTTAATTCTACTATAGTTGAGCATGGTTCTCTTGTGCCTATTTTACATTCTGTATCTGCTTAAAGAGATTGGATCTGTTTGCTAATTTAGGTCAAGGTGCTATCAAATAAACTAACTTACATAGTAGCACAGATAGCAAAAGAACGTTAGTTAAAATAATTCCTAGCATTTTGAGATTTTATATTATAAATGTGCTGGATTTGTTTTAATCAGAAGAAAAACAAGAGACACTATTTGAATTTGCTTAGCAAACAGACTCTCAGAGTGTTTACATCTGCTTACTCTTTTGGTACTGGTCTTGTTTCCTCTGTATTAAGTTTCATAGCTGAAAGAATTAGGTGAAGCAAATGATAGACTCCATCAAAATGTCTTCTCTACATTCAATTTAGGAGGGGGATCTTGTAAATTTAATGGTTGGTGTTCTTTGTCTTCCCTTCTTTTCCTAGTTTTTAACCATTTGCCTAGCTGGCCTTTAATGTGCCACCTGACCGTTATATTTATATGATTTTCTTCAAGTGGGTTTTTCTATTATAAGTGCTTTGGGACGATCAACCCAACTCAAATCCACTCGGCCAAGACCAAGTCCGAGTTCAACTCCAAGTCCATGATCGGTTGAATTCAACTTAAGCCCAACTCCAATTCAAGTTGAACTTGAATTGAGAAGACTTCATTGATTAGGAGTATAGGAGTCCAAATCTGATTAGGAGTCATCAAAGTCTAATTAGGGGTATGTGAGTCCCCCCTCTACGACTATAAATAAATGGCTTGGCAGCCCTAGAAAACACAACAATTAAAGAGAGTCAGCTTAGAGAGAGGCGCTGACCCTAGAGAGAGAGAGAGAGAGAGAGAGAGAGAGAGAGAGAGAGAGGCAACAGTGCAGCCTCAAGAAGTCCAAGCTTGTTGCTCATGAAGCCTCTTTGTAATTGCATGATTAATTCCTTTTCTTTGAGAAGCAATCTAGATTCTTTTTCCTCTTTCAAATCCTCTCGTCTTCTAATGACTATCAATCCTCTCGCAAAGCATAGATCCATTCGGAGGCCAAATTATTGCCCCAAACGGATCAATAAATTGATAGTTTTTAAAGAGATGGGTGAAAATGGATTGAATATGGATTGGATACCAGAAAACCATGTCCATATCCACTTCCTCATCTGCAGACATGAACATGGATAAGGGTAGCATCTGTTTCTAAATTTTGAAACCACAATTGATCAAAATTGATACAAATATTTGTCAGCTACAAGTCTAATTTATGGTTATATATACAAATAATAATTAGATGGGTCTTGATAAGAATCATATTTTAAACAGGCTAGTACTAGTTCTTTTTAATCAATGTGGAATTAGGATGGATACCGATAAAATTAGATATAATCAACATTTATATGTGGTGAAATAGGTCAAGTGCCTAGTCTACTACTAAAAGAATTTTATTCTGTGAGCTGCATATGTATAATCGATTCAAAATAAAAAAATACTATGTATTAATAATATTAAAAGAAAACTTTTAGCAGATAATTGGCTTGAAGCAGACTGAATGAAGCTTCAACAGAACGTGCTCCATTACTTTTACTTGGCATCATCTTTTTGTGATGGGTGGATTGATGCTACCAAAATTTGTTCAGATATTGGAGGTCATATTTGTATCAGGGAAGTATTATATACATGTATATCAGTTCCAATTTTGGACCTGGGTATTATGTGAATCCAACTATCCATATCTAGTTATAATGAAACATAGATCTGAATCCCACCAGATGTTATCTGAGATGATTTCACTGCTACTAACAGGTGTAGCCTCAATTATAATTCAGATTCTATCTTAATTGTAGTCGAGATTCATATATAATAATAATAATAATAATAATAATAATAAATAATAATAATAATAATAATGATGATGATGATGATGATGATGATGTCAGTATATATCTTACTATATATTCCTTGGAGGTTCACTGCTATCTTGTTATCGTTCAGCAATTTTATTATTATTCTTAAAACATTTTTCTTATTTAAGCATTCAATTGTAGTCAAAGGAATGGTTTTTACCTTTTCCTGTGATGCAAACTCATCTTTAATTGTGAATTGGATTCAGTATTTGGTGAGACCTTTATTTGATTTTGAGTCAGAACTCCAGTTATATTTAGCCACTATGCTCTGCGCATCTAAAGTAATATTTTTAATCTTTTTTAGCCTAAATACAATTATATTATATTATTTGTTTTGTTGCAGAATCATGAATGCCTGTATAGGTAACAGAAACTTGATTGTGCTAGTCCACCTTAAATTTTTCATTCCTTTGAATTCTAGAATCATAAAGTGGGCAACTGACTGTATGAGATGTCAATTTGATTGTTGGTCAGATTCTACTATATTCAAAATATTTTTTGTGTTTGCTGAAAGAACAATGCTTGAAGAGTTAGAAGCTATACAACAGCTTGTAACAATAAGACATATTGTTGCAGGTACCGGAGCATGGGCTTAGCAACGGTGCAATCAAAGGAGCAGATCGTGAGGATGAAAGTTATGAGGGAGATGAGTCGACATGGAGTTGAAGCTATGCGTTCAAAGATTGGGATGAAGAGTAACGTCATCAGAAATCTCCCTAAGAATGTCCCATATTAGTAATGCAACGAGCTTTGAACTTATAATATATTGTTACCTAGGTTGGTTCATGTAGCATTTCAGTTGTTTTCGAATACCATTTTGTTGTATTTCAACACACAACCCCCCGCCACGGATGCTGAGTAATTGAAACTATTTTCAGGTCAGATGCTATAGCTTATCGGGAATGTGATTATGCGTTTGATGTTATAGTGGTTTGCATCGCATGTAAATCTGATATTGCCACTCATTCATCCAAAAATCTGATATTGTAAATTGTGCTCCTATATTTGACACATTATAGATATGAATCACAAGAGAGAGAGAGAGAGAGAGAGAGAGAGAGAGAGAGCACATATTTAATCCTATTTTTGAAACACCAATGGCGACTCCTTCAAACCATTCGAAACATAAACAGTGATAACCCGTATGGATACACATGCCGTTAGAAGTTCGAGTTATAAAACTACTGCTGCCTCACAACATCAGCATTGATGTTAAACCACCACACAATAATATGTGAAGCAGCTCATTTCTCAGGCCTGCAGTTTAGATAGATAGGCACACTGTTGTACCTACCAACCATATATATGATACAACAGTATACACAATAGAGAGAAAGCCTGTCCTTTTGTCATTGAACACTTACATATCGGCCAAAGGTAGTGAGTGATCATCATCATCATCTCCGTATTTTCACTCTGTAAAATATAGATAGTTAATCCCCGAATGTGGCTTAAAAACAGCCTAACAGTTTTGAAAAGGAACACTCAAATAAAATATACTATTGACCATCCCATCCATCATCACATATTTCATCACATATTTCATAAAGATGAGCCTAACCAACACCAAGAGATGCTGGTCTTGATCAAGGATTATCAACTTTTTTATTTTAGCCACTTAAGTCAAGCTCAAGCTCAAGCTCAAGTTCGGTCTAGCAATTTCTCTTAGACCACTAAGAGGATTCGAATTGACAAGACTAAGAGTCCTCTATCTAAAACTAAGAGTTGAACTTCGGTTGAAAATCCTTTAGTTTAGTTAAAAGAGTATGAGCTATTTTTATTTAGTTAAGAATCTCCTTCCTCAATTACTAGTAAAGGGGTACGATAACCTCTATTGAGGAGCACTGAGAAGATAAAAGAGGCAACAATAAGAAAAAAACCTCAAGATTCCGGGCTTATATGCTTAATAAATTCAAGTTATTGCTAAAAAAGTTTGAGCTTATTAGTGAGGAAGTCTCTTTGTAATTATCAAATATTCCTTTTTAGGAAACAATCTAGATTTTTTTTTTCTCTTTTAGCTTTCTCTTCTTCCAACATTCTATCGATCATCTTACAAAGTATTAACATCACTCAAGGAAGGATTAACATCACAAAATCCTTCCCCTAAAATGATCAAGTGTATCAGGATGACGATCCTCACCTAGTTACCATTAGACAAGGATATACAAATCCAGATGAAAAACTTCAAAGGTTAGATGCCCAAGTCATTAGATCTCAGATGGCAGAAAGTACTTCAACAACAACGTTAGATCTTATATGTTATATGTATGACTTGACCAACTCGACACTTAATTTATCCTATATAGGTATAATTGTCAAGATAAAGTCGCTCTGTGTTGATTTAAGTTGCAAGTCATATTCTAGCATGATGAAATGCTTACCTATGACCCTACGACAATGAAGAGATGATATGAGAACAATTTAAAAAACCCATCCGACAAAAAGTCTATCGAATAGAATACCTCAAAGATCAATTGGAAAGATACCATAACTCATGCCAAGGACAAGATTGATTAGTGTAAGACTATAGCACTAAGTTTTAATGACAAGCAATGACATTCAAAATCTCATCCAATTGATATTTGATGGTGATGAAATTTACCATTAGTTTGCATGATCAATATCGAATTAACCCCCTTCAAGGTTCACGATATCTTGAGTGCTAGTGGGATAGTCATTGTGATTGAAAGGAAGACTTAGTTGAGTCAAGTTGGTGAGGGCTTGTGCTAGTGGGATAGTCTCTTCAAGGTCCAACAACGCCTAGACTTGTTGAATAGAATTGGTGAAGGCTTTGTAGGAACAATGATGATGGATAAAAATTTAGCTAATTGAGGAGTAATTGATGGAGGGTTTCATCCTAGGTCATTAAACGATCGTCAAACGGCAAAGGATTTGATAATGGAAAATTGGTTATTTTTTACTATTATTGGGTTCGAGTTTGGAAGAGCGAGTTTTTCCTAATTCATCTATAAGAGTTCGACATGATTATCTTGAGTCTTTTTTAAAAAATAATCTTTTTAGAGCTATTATATTAAATCAAATTTTGATTATCCGACATACAAGTTAGGTTCAAGCAACCCAAGGTAAGGTGTCAGAAAGCTGGCCAAGACCCTATAAAAATTACATTATGGCATAACCGACCTACTTAGGTCAATAAAAAATTTAAAATATTCAGCCAAGTATTAAAGTTAGAAAGCACCTATCACACCAGTTTATAGGGTTGTAGATGATAGGTTGATATAACAACAACAATAATATCCATATATCTTTTAAGTATATGTCCATATCATCTTAAACGATTTTTTTTCATCTTATTATCTAGCATACTAATATCTAATTATTCATAAATAAAATTATTTTTTTATTATCTTTTTTAGTAATTCAATATATTAATCTTAACATTCTTATTTCTTAACTATTGAATACTCTGATCAATAAAGCTGATGGATAATAGATTGACATTACGATAAATATCAAGAATGTACGATGAATCGATAATATTACGATTGCAAAGATAACGATTTTATAGAGCCAACATGCCTGTTAATGCTACGTTACTAGTTTTATGATGCGGAGTCAACATCTAATGTTACCGACCTTATGAAATCGAATCTCATTTTATGCGTCGATCGAATGAGTATATTATGCTGATTGATGATCGCCAGTATCAAAAGATATTTTGATATTTTTATAAACTGTCTTCTGAAAATATATTAATAACCCAAAAACTTTTTTGAGTGTTCGAATAAAATCGTCCTCTAAAAAAGAAAAAAAGAAAAACTCAAGTGGTAGCATCATCATAATCATCCGAAGGCGGGCCCCGCGTTGCCGTGGGCGTCATCTCTCGACCACCCTTCAATCATACGACGCCATGGAATCGGCGACCGGAGGGGCAACTCAGCCGGAGAGAGAGACAATAAATAGAGAAGGATCGCCTCCCCTCGACACCGCGGAATCGCGCCACGTGGTGCCCCTGCGGCATCAAGGGCAGCCGCAGCCTTCCCCCACCTCCCCTACGCCCACGGCCTGTGGCGGTTCCATCGCAATGGCATAATCCCCTGGTTATTCTCCCCTTCTGTTCCCTTCTCTCCCTGATTCTCTTCTCGTCTCCAACTTGCTCCGATTCCCCTGCCACCGCCGTTCCTCGTGCCCTTGTCCTTCCATCGATCCTTCGCTTGATACGAGAAGCAGCAGCAACATCGCCATCCGATCGTGAAGGTACGATGGTTTCTCCGGCCTTTCTGTTCCTGTCGCATCTGATGCTTTATTTCCTTTTGCTCCTCTATTTCGATCGTTAGATCGGAAAAGGAAGGAGGAATAAGGAAAAATCTCGACTTGATTTCAGATCCATCCACTGGAAGATCTCTTTATTATTGGTGAAGTTCTGTTTTTCTTCTAGTATTCTTAAATAGATAGCAGTTTCCTACCCTTCTTTTTGAATCCATGCGGTTGCAGAAGAAAGAGGATTTTTAATTCATCCTGTTGTCCTATTTTATAGGTAATTCCAAATAAGTGGGAAATCTTGCAGGAGGATTTCGGAGAAAGTAGTGGTGATGGCGGCGGACTCCTGACGATCGTCCTTCCGCTGATAGCCGGCTGTTTATATGCGATCGGCGTCAACCTGGAGTCCCTCATCTGTTCCTCTGTTGTCGCCGTCGGTTGAGATTGAAATGGTCACCGCCCCCGATGATTCCCCTCGCGTCAAGTTCCTCTGCAGCTTCGGTGGGAGCATCCTCCCCCGGCCGATCGACGGGCGGCTCCGCTATGTCGGGGGCGAGACCCGGATCGTGACCGTCCCACGCGACGTCTCCTACGAGGAGCTTTTGGCTCGGATGCGCGAGCTGTTCGATGGAGCGTCGATCATCAAGTACCAGCAGCCCGACGAGGACCTCGATGCGCTGGTGTCCCTCGTGAATGACGAGGATGTGATGAACATGATGGAGGAGTACGACAAGCTCGGGACTGCCGGTGACGGTTCCACGTGGCTGAGGATCTTCCTTTTTTCGCAGTATCCTGATCATGACACGGCGGTTGTCGGTGCCCACTTCGATGCTGATGACCGGGAGGCCGAACGAAGGTACATCGATGCGCTCAACAGCCTTTCCGATGCAAAATCCTCCTCACCTCCGGATATCTCCGAGCATCATCTCGATGGGGGGATCCACAATCAGGTTAAGTTGCGTCACCTTACGATCCCTTCTCATGCTCAAAGATACGGTGAAATGGATGCTTCTTTTAGCCCTGCTCTTTTCTCCCCAGGGCAACATTCTGCCACTGACCCACAGGAATTCTCACCTTCTCCATCGTCTGCAAGATTTCACGTTGGGGCTGGGGAGTTCAACGATAGAATTGCTGATGAGTATGTTAGGCAAGCAGCGGGACACCAACACCAAATGCATCAGTATGATCATCAGTCACCATCACCTGTGGAAAATTTGGTGTGGATTCCCACAGGTGCAATTGTTCAGGAAAAGTCTGGATTTCCAACTAACTTGGGCCATTCTCACAATATTATCGATGGAAATGGTTACTGTGAGCATTGCTGCATGGCTTTCCAGAGGAACCATAGTATTGTTCCAGATGCACGTTTTGTCAACAATTGCTGGAAGCATGGGCAGCCATACATGGAGCAACCAAAGATGGTTAACGAGTACATGGGGCACTTTCCAAATTCATGTGCTGAGTGTTCCAGTACCAGGGATCCACACATGGTAAACCAAGACATGAAGATAGGCCATGGTGTCTATGCCAAAGAACAGAGCGAGCCACACCACTTGTTCTTTAATGAGTCCCATGGTTATGAACGGGGGTGGCCTATGCACAGCCACCAGGTCACTCACAGACTTGAGGATATGCGGATCAATTACAACGGAACGGGTAGGGCAAATGAACACTTGGTTGTCGATGGAAATATGATGAACGCTCCA